ACAGAAGAGGCAGCACTTATGGGTCCCCGCCCCGGGGGCCCGTACTCTACGGAGCCAGGCACCTGTGCTGGGCAGCAGATAGGATAGGTGGTTGTTTCCGTCTCTTTCTCTTGGGAAGCACAAGTATCTCACTGACGCCTGGCAAGGATATCGTGTTGGCGTTTTGTCTGGGAGACTGACCTAACTGCTGTCTTTGGACATGTCCACATCCTCAGTACAGAACGGGGATGCTTCTCTCTGTCCCTCTCCTTCAGTGGCCCCTGCCCGCACGGAGCCGGCCACTCCCAGACAGCTCCACTGCTCCAGGGAGGACCTGGGTGGCTGCTCAAGGACAGCAGTGCGGAGGTCAAAGTCAGCCTCCACTTTAGGACGCCCCACACCCCAGCCGTGCTAAGGCCTCTGCAAGCTTAGCCCCACCCACGCTGCCCCCTGGCCAGTCTGCATAAACCAGGCCAATCTCCTCTGGAATGACTTGCTCATTCCTAACGGCAAGTCTTGGCTCGTGTGATGCCGCCATCACATGGAACTCTTTCCCTTATCCAAGGCCTTTCGGTTTACATTCTCTCCTGACCTGGGTAAGTTGATAGAGGCCTTCAGAGCTTACACAGCCCCCACAGCCCCTGAAAGGACCGCTTAACCTCAAGCCACCCACCCACTGTTTATCTGCTGCTCTCCTGAGCACCCATGTGTTGGTTACTTGTTGACATTTGGCACATGACCCCATCCTCCTCTGTTTCTCACCAGCTAGGTTATAAACTGGCCACGGGACAGGGTCTGTCTTTCTTTTTCTGCAGCCTCATTTAGCTCATTGTTTACCTCACACATTGTTCTTAACATTGTGCTGCCTTTTTACGGGCACAGTCTCATCTTTCTGCCCTCCAAGATAATAATATTATTATCCCACTTGGCAGGTGAGAAAACTGAGGTTTACAAAACCCCTGCGTGTTAAGGCTAGTACATTGTAACCTGGAATTTGCAATCAGGGCTGGCCTCAGTCTGGGTTCTTCAACTCTTTCCTCTACTAACTCGGTTTGTACCAGGCTCTGCCGCCTGCAAGCGTTATGACCTTGAGCAAGTTGTTTACTTCCTTTTTGCCTCAGTGTCTTCCTCAGCAAGACAGAAATAAAAATAATCGCCGCCTCATACGGTTGTTGCAAGGATTGGATGAGGTAGCGCGTGAACACGCACTGCATAGTGCCTGGCACATGGTGTTATGTCTTGTACACATTTGTTCTTCTTCATTCTCAGCATCATCTTAATGCTGTTGCTTGAATTACTGTAACTACCTCTGTGTCCCCGGCATCATCTTAGCACCTGAGACAACGTTACGCACGCGGCTTGTGCTCAGGAAATGCCTCCTTAACGAAGGAGAAGGCACTGGGCTTGCGGAGGGGACTGGGTGGCACGTGCTCAGCGTGATGCTGTCTCTGTGGCAGCTGCTGACGAAGAGCTTGCCTTTGCCAGTGTACAGTCCAGGCTCTTGTTCGGCTGCTTCGGCCGCAGGCTTTGTGGGTTGTGATGGACGCTGCAATCGAGAACCCTCTGTAGCCTAAAAACTTTTTCCCTCCCTTCCCACCCCCTTCGCCGGTAGCTCTGAGCCCTGCCAAGTCTGTGCAGAAGCCTTGAAATGACAAAGCACCCTTTAGTTAATTGCACAACGGATTGCCTAGAGTTAAAAGTTCTGATTTATATGGCTATAGCTGTAACTGCTCAATAACACAGGCCTGTAATCTACTTTCATTTCAAACAGAACGGTGATTTATAAGGCAGCATGCCGCTTTAGCTCAGAAATGAGGTGTCCCAACATATGCTCTGTTGACATAAATTTGGAATTTATCGCTGTTGTCAAAACTGCCTGTTGGACAAAGGTGGGTATTAAGGCAATAAATGGCTCCGAATAGTTTTCTGTCACATTTCCTAACCATTGTATTTAGTCTATTTGAGGAGAAAATATATACTTAAAAGTAATCAAATGTCTAAAATCCATGCATCTTGTTTTGAATGTGAGAAGGGCGGGGGCGGGGAGGAGGGAGGACTTGCCGAGGGTGGGGGTGGGCCGGGAGAAAGCTTTCCATGGAGTTATGGCCCATTTTAAAAAGATCCCACTTCGCTTCCTCTCCCCCATCCCCATTAGGAGGTGGGCTTTCCTTTCTCATTTACAAAGAAGGGGAGGAAAATGAAAGCTCATTAAATAAAAATAGTAAAGGACATTTTTATGTGCGGGCTTAAAGCCAGTGATGTCAGGGAGGAGTTAGTGAGTGCGGCTGCGAGGGAGGCCGAGCAGGATTTTGTTTATGGGGAAATAAAGCCAGCGGCCAGCGGAGGTTTCTTTGCCACCTCGGCCAGCGAGCTTGGGCTTGCTGGCAGGCCCGAGGCTCCTGTGGGCCGCATGCACTGCTGGCTACCTGGTGAGGGCGAGGGTGAGGGCGAGGGTGGGAACAGCCGGGTCCCGGGCCTGGGGCACTGTGCTGTATGGCCCATCCAGTCCTGACTTGTTACCTGCAGTGTGGCCAAGAGGCACACGCCTGTGCTACACACTCACCCGCATCACGTCTTGAGCACCCACATGGCCTTTTCGAGGCTCGAGACACAGAAGTGAGGAAGCGCTCAGTCTTCAGGTAGCTTTCCATCGAGTTGGGAGAGACAGACAAGCAGGCAGAGGCAGCCCCGGTGCCATCGCCGCAGCAGACACACACCACGGGCTAAAGCGCACTAGCTTTGGGAGCGGAGGGGTCAGGGGAGGCCTCTGGCGATGACAGTGACTCTCCTGCCTGGCGAAATGTCCCCCTTGTGGGTATTAGGTCCCTTAGAGAATACAGAACAAATACGCCACTGATAGGCTTTTCACAAGATGTGCAGCGTACGGTCAGGTGATCACTGATGTGGTCAGGTGGGTTTTCTGCGTTGTATATTGTGAGGAGAGTAAGGCCAGAGTCCCTGTGCTCCGAGGCTGCCCCTCTGTTCTCTGTGCATCAGCTCCGTGCCACGGCCTGGTCATCGCGTCCCGGGGGCAGGGGCGCCAGGCAGGCAGCTCGGAGGGTTTAACGAAGGCAGTCAAAGTCAAGGTTAAGAATCTCCTTCTATTCTCCATCCTCCACTTTAAGATCACATAGCTTGCGGCGTGCCATCGCCAGGTATGTCTCTGCGTTGGAAAGGGCCAGCATATCCAGAGCCGCTGGGCCTGGCTGCTCTGGGCCTGAGGAGCTGCAATCAGGCCTCTCATGCCCGCCAGCTCCCAGGCTTGCAAGTGGAGCTGGAGGAGCACGCAAGCCGCCGGTCGGTCCTTCTCCCCGTGAAAGCCAGCCCAGCAGGGGGAGAGGATGCATATTTGTTGCTTTTATTTTGTTTTTCCTTTTATCTCCATGCCCACACGCTCGGAGCCTCTGGCGCTGATAAATGGGTGCCCTCGCAAACACACGCGCGCTGCCCCCCTTTCTCTTTGCCCGCCTGCGTGCCACACACACGCACAAACACACGCACGCTGTCCCCAGTACATGGGGTGTGGACACCAGTTGTAAGCCTCCTCTGTGTGGCTCAGCCTCCCTTTGCCACCAACCCCTGTCCTTTTCAAAGCTCCCCGTGGGGAAAACTCATAATTTTTACACCACAGAGCCTGGCCTGGCCGTCGCTGGAATTGCTGTCTCTTTGAAGTGCTTTCTGCTGGGGCATTTACAGGCCGTTTTAATTACCCGCAGCTTGCGAGGGGCCTTGCTCTGTCCCAGCCTTTGTTTGTTTGTTCTTTGCAAGGAGTCTGTGCAGAAAGGAATACGGTGGCCTTTTTATACAAAGAAAGAAGAGGGGGAAAAGAAGTTTGGGGGACCCCTAATCGCGATTTTCCCTGCGGCCTGCTCTGGACACCCGCCCACTGGAAGGAGCTCAGGACGGGAGCCAGCCTTGCTCTTGGCCGGCCCATGTCTCAACAACATGGGTCCCTCTCCTAGGGTTTGCCTGCGATATTTATGTATTTTTATTTTAAGGATTATTAAATATACTTTCAAACTTCCCGTCAGAGACAGCGGGGCTGTCAAATAAAGCTCCCCTCATTGCTGACCACATCAGAGTCAGCTGCACTGAAGCTGGGATCCTGCTCATATTTTTCAACTCAATCTACTCGAGGATTGTGCGCCATTACATTATAGAGTCTGGACATGGGGTGGGGTGGGGGTTTGGAATTACATGCGAAGGCAGTGCCCACTCTGAGCTGTCTGGGGTTTTCCTTTCCTGTCTTGATTTTCCATTTGCTTCCCTCTCTAGGATGAACTACACATAAATAGCCTTCTGTTAAACATAGGGGTTTCTGGTAAACACGAGTGTGGCATGTCATGTCTACAGATGAAGATGCGAGTTTACCGGAGGAGCCTGGGAAATTTATCCCCTTCTCTGTGGGCTCTCCCAGCAGCAGGATCTTCATTCATTTATTCATTTAGTCCGAAAATGTATTGAGCAATCAGAACCTCACACATTGCTGATGGGAATGTAAAGTGGTGCAGCTGCCTTCGGAAACAGCCTGGCAGCTCCTTAAAAGGTGAAGTACAGAGTTACCACTGACCCAGCAACTAGGCCTGGGCATATACCCAGGGACGTGAGACATACGTCCACAGGTAGAACTTGTACACACATGTTCATAGACACATGATTCATAATTGCCAGAAGATAGAAACAACACGGACAAACGCTGAAAACATCGTGCTAAGTGGAAGAAGGCAGGCACAGAAGGCCACGTATGGTATGACTGCATTGATATGAAATGTTCAGAATAGGTAAATATGTAGAGGGAGTTAGATGAGTCTTTGCCAGAGACTGGGAGATAGAGGCGTAGGGAGCGACTGCTAAGTGTTCTGAGATTAGATAAAGGTGATGGTTACAAAGCTCTGTGAAAATTCTGAAAATCACAGAGTGGCACACTTCACTAGGGTGACTTTTATGGTATGTGCATAGTATCTCAGTAAACCTGTTACTTAAAAATATATACTAAATGCTTACTATGTACCAGGAGACTCTGAGGGCACGACGATAGTTTCTGCCTTCATGTAGGCTGCAGTCTAGGAGAGAGAAAGAATTCTAGTAAAAAACAACAATAATAGACACCTGTACATTGTGTTAGTGTTAGAAGGGAAGTCAGTAAAGTGCAATAATGGAGAACAGTGTTGATGTAGAACCTACTTAGACTGCAGTTCACGTGCAGTCTGCTTCCCAGATCCTGGCACACAGTAGGGCTTAATAGATAGTGAGCAACCAGCAGTAGGGGACGAGGCAGTGTGCCTTCCCTGTAGGAGGTTATCTAGTCCCCTGGAGACTCAGCCTGGCCATGGACACTGGGTGCCATCATAGCGCTTACCTGTCTTCTGAGCTTCTCTTTGATTGGGATCAGGGGAATACCAGGTGTGTTCTCGTTCTCTCTCTCTCTCTCTCTCTCTCCTTTCTTGCTGGTGGTTTTCCTGTGACTTTTAGGGGCAGCTCTGGGAGGACACTGTGGACAGGGTGGATAGTCTCTCCTCAGGTGGGGAAATGTGAATGGATCCCGAGGTGAAAAGCCTGGAGACTCCACCTGCTTACATGGAACAGAAGTCAGTTAGTCTCAGTTTTCCTCATCCACAGAATGGGGACAGCACTCTCTTCCCCAACCACACGGAGGTTGATAAGATCCTCAGGAAGTCCTTTCAAAGGCACATGTGATGTAGAAATGTATTAGCATTATTACTATAAAACCTCAATGAACTAGATTTATTTATTTTTTGCATTGTTGCTAAAAGGAAAAAACAACAACAAGAAATGAGATCTCTTTGGTTTTTGCCTTTTTCCTTTATTAAAATGGCAACTTTCACAGTGCGATTTGGTGTCCGTATAGGTTAATCTGCCCAACCTCTTATTTTGTGTTCATAAAGGTTGTTTAGGATGATGGCTCTACAGCTCAGAATCTTCATAGGAAAGGAGTGTAATTTTCAATGTATGGAGGCTGACAGAGTGAGGCGGTCTGCATTGCGAAGGTTTTCAGACAGATTTAATCACAGGAACTTCCTTCTTGGGTCCTTAATGAGCCTCCGTTATCTTCGGCAGCCTCCGAGGATCCCGGCTGGTCTGTGGGATGTGAGGTAGCATCTGGGCTTCCTGGCTAAAGTGAGAACATGCAAAGAGGAGCCCGACAACCAGGAGATGACGTTCCTCACGGCAGGCAGAACGGGGAGATAAAGGAGGAATCTGTAGCTTTTTGAAAACTGTTTCCTCAGAAATTGACTATTTGTGCTGGTTTGATGCCTCATCTGGGTGTGAGAGAGAAAAACCAAAAAACGTCGTTCATCAATAACCATCGTTCGTTTCCCTTTCCCGGCCTTTTAGGGCCTGGAGAGAGAATTTTGGATTTATTTTTGTTTCCCTTGGGCTGACATCATCAAGCATGCATCATGGTGCTCTGTTTTGGGTTTGGAAAAAGCTCTGAGAAGCTATAAATCTTGAGGCATTTTACTATTTTTTCTCTTCCCTTTCCTACAAGCACAACTTTTCTGGTTTCTTAAAAAAAAAAAAAGAAAACTACAAAAGTGTGTATTGATCCCTTTCCCTCAGATCTTAGCTGGCCAGGCTGTAATACCTTGCTTACATCTGCCAGGTTTTGTGCAGTTTTGCAACATCGCCTTAATCCAGTGAGCATAAATAGAACATTTCAATCATATTTGGCTACCAGGAACTTCGCAGATAAGCACGCTAAAACCTTGTTGAAAGAGACTGTATGAGACTGTGTGCGATAAGATCATCCTAAAGCCCGGCGCACAAATGAAAAACTTTTGTTCTTGCTGAAATTTGTTGATAGAGATATTTCAAATAAATGACTTAGAAGAACTCGGCGTTTTAAAACAAAGGCCCAGTTACGTCACCGCCAGAAGCCCAGGCCTCCCGGTGCTCAGCAGCCATGAAGATCCTTCTTTGAGCAGTTGCTGCGGGGAGATTAGCCGGCCTTTGTCACGTCTGCCATCTTATTTGAACACTCAGGCAGCCTTATCTGAAAGCACTGTACTTGGTGCGGCCATGGCCGCGGGGAATGCCATTGTCCTTCCTCCTATTTTCACAGCTGGGGACAGCTCCTTCCCCTCTTCGGGCAGCTCAGGTTGGCCTGGATCCCAGGCCAAGGCAGGTCGCACGGCTTTCGGTCTAAGAACCCGTGCAGGCCTTTGCTTTGGGGCAGTGGGGACCGCTGTTCATGGACTGGGATGGGTTTGTGTGTTGGTGTGTGTAGAGGGGGTGGAAGTTTTCACCTCTGCATTTTCCCCTTCGAATTCCCATTCATGTTTGCTCGTTCACTCAACAACAATGCACCGAGTCCCACCCTGTTCTGGGCTCAGAGCCAGAGGTTGAGGGGATGGTTCTGGTTGGCTCCTTCGGAGGAAGTTATGGTCTGGCTCACACAGGCCCGTGTCCACCCCACAGCCTCTCTGTGTCATAACCCGATTGGAAGGGACTCAACCCTTGCAGTGTCACAAAGGTGTGAAGTGAGAGCGTGAGAGGGTGAGTGGTCACACCAAGGTCACTGGCTGGTCATGGCCGAGCTGGGTGAGCACCGAGTCTCCTGCTCTCCGCCCAGTATTTCAGTTAGTGTCACACCTTTGCTCTAGGTGACCCTTGAGAAAGTGCCTTCTTTGCTATCCTCTCCCCGTCCTTTAACAGTCTCCAAAGCAACCACATAGCCATGTCTTCCATGGCTGCACTGGCCCGGATGCCAGCAGGGGGCGCTTGCCTGTATTCCCCTAACGCGCCCCCAGTCCTGCAGCACGTAAAGTGTTAACCGCCACTGTCAGTTCCTGGTTGCTTTTTAAAATCCGTTGCTTGAAATCCTTGCCTTTTATTGGTAAATTTACTTTATGGCATACATAAAGAGCTGTATTAAAAAATAAATTGTGTTGTAAAAGCATTTGGTAATGTTTATTAATATTGACAAGTCAGGGAGCAGCAAACTCTATTGCTAGAAGGATAATTTGTGGTAATACCAGCTAAGCATTTGTAGCTTATAATGACTATAATCTCAACACGTGAAAAAGTGGGGGGACGGATAATTCCCCTTATGCCTGGAGAAAATGAAGGTGACCGTTCTGCAGCCAAGGTTAGGACCATCCCTTCGTTGTCCTTCCCGGAGGAGGCAGGCCTCCGCTCTGGTCCCAGGTGGGGTTTCCTCGGTCAGGCAGCCCTTTGCCCTGGGGAGGGTGACAGCACCATCAGCAGCCTCTCCTGTGTGTGCCTGTGTGTGCTGGGAAGAATTTATAATTGGCTCAGTCTTGAATCATATTCCAAGAAAGTACAGAAGGAGAATGATGCTGGGCATAACTAGTGTCACAGACTATCTGGCCTCCCTCTTGTCATTTGAATGAAAGGCAAATAGACATTGAAGGTATATTTCGAAATTAAGGGTCTGGGGAGAAAGAGTGAGTCCATTGCCGAAGGATGTCCGTTCGTCCCTTTTTCAGTTCTGTCTCTGCTTGGAGAGGTGAGCGAGGCCGGGGAAGCCTCTCTTCCCACTGGGTTTATGAGTCATTAGTCGCTTTGGAGACCGAGCGCATTTCGAGAGGCAGCGCGCCTTGCAGGGGCCCCGGCCGGTCAGTGCCACTCGGCCAGGTCCTGCTCAGAGAGGAGTAGGAGGCTCCCATGTGGGCAGCAGCAGAATTTTTATTGTTGCTGTTGTTGTTAAGCCTCACCCAAGGATTTTTTTTCCACATTGATTTTTAGAGAGAGAGAGTGGAAGAGAGGGAGGCGGAGAAAGAGAAACATCGATGTGACAAAAACACCTTGATTGGTTGCCTCCTGCACGTGCCTCGACCAGGCCAGGGATTAAACCTGCAACCCAGATACGTGCCCTTGACCGGGATTCGAACCCGGTAGGCACCCTTTGGTGCTCGGGCCAATGCTCTAAACACTGAGCAAAACTGGCAAGGACAGCAGCAGGCTTTTTCGAAAAGAGGGTCATTTAGACTTTGGTGTGGATCTGGTTCACAGAATGTCCTGTCTCGTCCATGTCTGTGCTGAGTCCCCCTAGAAGCACTGTGAGGTCACGTTGATGGTCCGGGACCAGGAAGCAACAGCCCCAGGCCCCGGATGACTTCCACACGTGGAGCCCTCAGACCAGGGAGCTGGATGCTGGTCCAGGGGATGGAGTCAGTTAAACTGAGAACAAGGAAAACCTTATCGAAGCCCTTCCTCTTTTATTTTTACTTCATTTAAAGGTGGGTGGTCCCGCTGCTTTCCCCAGGGACAGCTCTTGCATCTCCGTGCTGGTCTACCCACAGGGCTCAGACAACCTCAGCTTCTGGGAGGAGAGTCAGGAGGGCAGCCCTTAGGTTACTGGAACCGAATTCCCCCAGTCCCCTGCCCATTGGTCTGCTCTAAGCGTCTCTGGGCAGAGGAACTTGGGAGAAAATGGAACATGGGAGGCACTGGGCCTTGAACCGCTCTCTCAGGTGCGAGGTGCTGCTGTTTGTTCTCCTAGCCTTGCCCCCTGGTCCTGGCTGTGGGGGACAGAGATGGGGGAGCCCCTTCTGCACCCCTTAGGGAGCAGCTGTGCCTGGAGGCTGAGGGGGGGATGATGGGTCTCTCCTTGCTGCCACTCACTGAGCTGCTGTTCCAGGTGGCCTGGGAGAGGTCTGAAGCTCAGGCTTTAGGCAGCGATGAAAGAGCCATCGCCTTTCCCTGTGTGGACCTCGGGAGCCACCGGACAGGGCCCAGCACTCGGCGGGGGCTGCCCAGGAAGCTCTTGTACTTGGAATGTTGTTAGGATGGGAGGAGGGTGCCTAGACTCCACCTTAGATAGAGGAACCTCTTTAGCAGAACTGAACAATCCCTTCTAAACTAGGCCCACGAAGAAGAGGAAAAGTAAACATTATACCGCTTGTACATCAGCACTATATTCTGCCATTATATCATTTGCCGGTTAAAGCAGATGAAATCTCTACACATTTCTAGACTCACAACAGTACTGCAATGGTTTGGGTGAGCGTGGACTTGCTACCTTGGTGAGAATTGTGTGGTTGAGAATCTGTGAGAAGGAATGAGCCTTTCTCTCTGGTTACTTGTTAAAAGGTTCGGACTTGCTCAGACTTAATTTCTCATAAAGATGCAGTTCTCTTGAGCAAATAGCTAGAAACCTGTTAGAGGTTCATTTTTTTCTTTGTCTTTTTGGATAGAAATGTAAATCTGTGGAAGTCAAGGTGAGCTTACTCAATGGGCCAGGTGTGGTCTGCGAAGGGGCAGAGCTAGGGGTGGGGAGAACTTGAGCCTGCTCCCCAAAGTGGATGGTGAGGACCTGAGCGTATCGGGGAGAATGGTCCTGCACTGAGTATGGAGTGGAGGTGCGTGGGCCCCCTGGAGCGGGGCTACTTTCAAAATGGTGTTCAGCAGTGTTGCTGCTTCTTTTTTGTTTTGTTTGGTTAATCCTCACCTGAGGATATTTTCCCCATTGATATCTAGAGAAAGAAGGGGGAGGGGGGAGAGAGAGATCGTGTGTACATGACGGAGATAAATAAAGAAGCGTGGATGTGAGAGAGAGACACATGGATTGGTTGCCTCCCGCACACACTCCAATTAGGCCGGGGATTGAACCTGCAACCCTTGACCAGGAACTCAAGAGCCTTCCATGCGCAGGCCGGCGCTCTAACCACTGGGAACACCGGCCAAGGCAATGTTGCTTCCTAGAGGAGAGTGAAAATCAAGCAATATTCAGAAAGATGTCCCCTGCTGTCCTTCCTCCCTGATGACTTCCAGTGGACTTTGTGAAAGGACAGGACCAGACTGGGAAAATAGGAGTGTGCTCGGTAAGGTGAAAAGAGGTGACAGAATTTCCATTTTAATCAAAATGCTTTGCAGTTGCCGAATGTGGTCATGGCAGTGAGGGCTCTGGTCTGAAGAGTGACACACTGTGAGCTCATACAAATGTGTACTCTCCTTCAAAGCCGGCTGGAATTCTAGTTCCAGGTTGGCCATTCTGCAGACTGTGCCCTGGAATCTGTTGGCCGCAAGTCCCTTGAATGAACCCAAGTTCTTTTCCTTTGAATTAGGAGAAGGCTCCACTTCCTCACAGTCTTCCCTGGTCCAAACAACAATGAAAGCTACGCGCAGACCAGTGCTGGGCTCCACAGAGCCGCCAGGCCTGGGAGGCGTCCCCTTCTCTCTCCTGGACTCTGTGCTTGGCCCTGGTCCCTCTGCCGTGGGAAGGACCTTTGTTCTTACACTCCTGTGGGGTCACGTGGGCGCCTCTGGTGAGCTGTGTGGGGCACTGAGTCAGTGGGTCAGGTGCAGGCCGGTGCCCTTACCCCAAGGACAGGACAGGTAGGACACCTGTGTCTCTGAAGGCGGGCGAGGGGTTGGCACCAGAAGAGAGGCTGGTGATGAGATCTGGGAGATACTTTCACCGAAAGGTAGCCCACACGTGAGGGAAGGAGGTCATGTATGAGGATGTTTTCAGTGAACAGGTTTCTGCGATTGGGTGTTGATTTTTGCTGAGGCTCTCCCATGCCGACTGCGTGGGTGTCGTGGGACGTCACCCGAGTGGACACGTGGCTCTGCGAGAATAAACAGTGCCCGGGAGGCTAGGAACAGGATGTGGATAAGACTTCTGAATAGTAAACTTTTGGCTCCAGGCGGGACCAGAACCTTAGCTGTCACCCACATCACTCTACAGGTGATGACCATCACTCTGCAGGTGATGACCCTGCAGAGGTCGCCATGGCATGGTTTGTCCAAGGTCATGAGCAGGTTCATGGCCGAGTCGGGATAAGGAGCCAGGTCCTGGGGCTGCTCACCGGGCAGCCTTCCCTGCCCCTGCCCCTGCCCCTGTGCAGTGGAGGGCCGGAGCACGACACCTCTCACACAGCCCCAGTGCAGTCGGCCAAGAAAGCCACCGACACCAGTTGCCCATCAGATATTCTCATCTGGAAAAAAGGCAGGGAGTTACCCAGAAAGTGTTCATCTTGGTGAAGAACTTGGTGTGAAAAGGAGGTGGGAGTCCAAGGGCCGGTAGAGGGTAGTGGCTGCTGAAACCGAAGACCGGTCCTCCAGAGACCTTTTTTTTAAAAAAAATATATTTTATTGATTTTTTACAGAGAGGAAGGGAGAGAGATAGAGAGTCAGAAACATCGATGAGAGAGAAACATCGATCAGCCGCCTCCTGCACATCTCCCACTGGGGATGTGCCCGCAACCCAGGTACATGCCCTTGACTGGAATCGAACCTGGGACCTTCCAGTCCACAGGCCGACGCTCTATCCACTGAGCCAAACTGGTTTCGGCTCCAGAGACCTTTTGGGAAAATAAAGCCGAATGGTGCTTGTCCCCCCTCTTCCTCCTGACAGCCACGTCCTGGGAAGCGGGCACCCCTGGGAGCTAGGAAGTCACTAGTGAAGGGAAGGATGAACATAAATAAGACTGCAACTCAGACTCTGCCAGCCACCACCCTGACCATGAATGTGGGCAAGAGGTTCACTTGCTGAACAACGTGTGACTAGAGCTTTGGCCACTCCCTGGACCGCCTGTTAGAGAAGCACATATCTGTCATGCCTGCAGGCGACAGGACACTCAGTCATCATGCATGTGCGTGCTCCTCGTGTGTGTACACTCTCGTGTGCCTGGAGCTGTACAGCGGTCTCCCCTTGTCCACGGTTTCGGGGACCCACAGACAACCATGGTCCTAAAATACCAAGTTTTTCCAGCCACTGACGCCGTCTGCTCCCGACGTCCAGCCATTCACATCGTCATGGCTGGGTGATCCAGGATCACCTGAAGCAGGTGACCGTCCTTCTGACGTATCTTCAGAAGGTCAACAGCAGCCTAACACCGTGTCGCAATGTTGATTTCACTTCATCTTACCACGTAAGGGTGTATCTAACCATCAGAAGAATGGTGGGTAGAGTATAGGGAGGTATTTTGAAAG